CCATATTTTTTGCACAACTGCTTGACAATCTCTTCTTGCTGTATTTCCTTATTTCCCCACATAAGCGAAGAAAACGCCTATATTCGAAACAGACGTCACTTTCAGAAGAAAGAAAGTTCGGGAAAAACTCTAAAAGTTATATGTGAAAGGCGAACCTGAACAAAAATTCCATTTCTCTCGCAAAAAGCTTTCAGAGTCGGTCTTGTAAAATAAGGATGAAACTCAAACTGATCCATCACAGGGCGATGCTAAAAAGATGAAAGACCGGATAAAAGACTATAGCTAAAGAAAAACTGGGTAGGTATACCTTTGCATATTCGAAGAGTTCTACCAAATGATAAACTTCATAATTTGATACTCCTATCGATTTGATAATGCCACGATCTTAAACAAAAAAGAAAGGAAATATCTATAATCATAATATGCAAATGACCGAACCTTTAAATTCCTCGAGTTTCTGCCATACTTCTTTTCTTCCTTTTTTGTTCACCCCATATGATCCATCTTTTCCAGTATATCTATCCCTGGGGAAGTGTACCAAAACCATATCCAAATAGCTAAAACCAGAAATATCAAACAAACCTTGACACTATTGTCCTTCTCACTTTGTTTTCAGTCTTTTCAAAGATCCTTGTATACTTTCTTCTGCCCAATTTGTTGCATCTCCATCTTTGGTCTGCACTTTGGTAGTAATAAATATATCTTCACGTGTGAGACCAGCTTTTGGTAAACTTTTCTGAAAGATTTGACTTTGTTAAGTCGAAAGAGCTCAAACAAGGTAAATCTAACCTCCAAAGCATTTCCAAGCTCTGCTTCGTTTGCATATAACTCGGCTGTGTCAAACAATCGGTATCCAGCTTGCAGCGCGGCATGTACAGACGTATCGATACTCTCCTACAATGAGCACTTTATTTTAGACCGGTCAAAATTCAAAATTTTTTCAAAAAGCCAAAATTTAGCAATATGCAAGCAGCAAGACCAAGCAAAGTTTCCACTTATATCTAGTAAGATAAAAATAAATTTGTTTGAAAGCGATAGCTATAGAACACTACCTGGCCGACAATCCGAGAGATACCCAGTCCAATCATAGGGATCCG